GAAACCTCCTGGGCTGACAAATGACACCAAGTGGCTCCTTAAAACCATCGACAGACACTTTTTATTGGAGAAAGTGCTCCAGTAAAATCTTCACTTTGAATTTTAACAAGAGTTGGTTAATTTAGATTTCTTGTACTGGGAGAAGAACAGTTCACCTCTAATGCACAATGTGAAAGCAATGCAATTGAACTTAAGCTACAAGCTGCAGTGCACCTTACAGTCTAGACTGTGTGTGATCTGTGGACTGGCACACTGTACGAAACATGACGCCAATAAGTTTTTAAACCATGGGACTTTTGATTTTTATTTGAATCTGTGCTGGCCATTCCATGTTTTCAAGCTTACCATCTTGTTCTTTTTTCCTGATGTAGTTCTGGCATAGCTGGGACTTGTGTTTTAGGTCATTATCCTGCTGTACGATGAACCCCTGACCAACTAGACGCATACTAGAGGGTATTGCATGGCGCTGCAGAATGCTGTGGTAGCCATTTTGGTTCAGTGTGCCTCTCACTCTGTACAAGTCACTGATCCCGGATCCAGTAAAACAGACACAGACCACCACACTTTCCTCCATGTTTGACAGTTGATGGCACACACTCTGGAACCATCCTTTCGCCTACTCAACTGTGTAAAAAGATCCTGAACCAAAGATTTCAAATTTTGATTCATCAGTCCTTAATACTAGTCTTCAGTAGTCCAATGGTGGTGTTTCATGGTCCGGGCAAGCCTCTTTGTCTTATTCTGACATCTTAGTAATGACTTTCTTGCTGCAACTAGTCCTGTCAAACCTGCAGCTCGAAGTCTTCTCTTCACAGTCGAAGCTTAGACTTTCTTACTAAGACCACTATTAAGCAGTGATTGAAGCTGTTGTCCTGTGAGCCGCCTATCAGGCAAGTTGTTAACTCTCAGAAACTTGACCTCTGATTCAGTTGTGGCTTTGGACCTGCCAAACCTCTTCCTGTCAGCGTTTGCTCCAGTTTCTGAGTGCCTTGTGATATAGTGAAGGAAACTGTACTCACTGACACCTTGACTTTCTTTCCAATTTCTTTGTAGGAAAGACCTACGTTTTTAAGTGTCATGATGATCTGTCTTTCTACCATTGTTAATTGCCGTTTTCTCACCATTTTTGTGGCAACCCACTACTTTCTGCAGTACAATACTGTTCAACTGATGCTCACAACTGTATGGTACCACAGTGTATTACAACACTGCTTTTATGTAGACAGCGGGGGTTGTAAGTAGTCCAGAAAAGCTGGAACACCTGTAGGAATTAGTAGCACCAGTTTTCAAGGCTTGATTAAACCTCCATTGCTGCAGAACAGTTTTAAATTGTTAACCCATTTTGTGGTCCCTGAGAAAGGCCTTCTTGTTCATTCTGAAATGTATGTTATTTTTCTGTTTTAGGTAACCTTACCCTTTTTTAACCTCTGGCAGTTTACCATTTACCTTTTTACCATTTCAAGCTATTCATTGGACTTAAATGACTTGAATTGCAATAAATAACCTGGAAAACTGGGGTTTTCTAAAACATTTGACCGCTAGTCTGTATATATATTTTAGTTGCGTCCTACTTAAAATGATTATTTCATGTTTATTGAGGGTGAAAATCATATTTGAGTGCAATTATGGACGGTGAATTTGTCACGGCTGTGCTGGCAGCCCATGGGGATGAGGGAAAGGAGCACCCAAATGCAGGACTCTTCAATGCAAGCAGTACGTTTATTTACAGTGATGTAAATAATACACAACAATAAATCCCCGTGCTCCCCAGACTCCCATGCCGTGTCTTCCTCCCAGTGTCCGTGCCCTGCCCTCGTTTCCAAGTGTCCATGCACCCCGTGCTTGCTGCCCTTTCGTTTCCAGGCTCCTCCTGGGAAATAACGTTAGACACTTTCCAACAGTGGCAGAATTGCACTTAGTGATATGTTGAAAACACTGACGGGTAGTCACATAATGATCCAGCGTCGGCAAGAGCTCCACTGCACTCCTAAGTAGCTCCTCCGATGAGGCTTGATCAGCTGTGGTGTGTGATGATCTTCAGGTGTGGCCAACCACCTGGCAGGGCCACACCCACCAGGCCTGAAGGTGCCTGTCACAGCCATACCCACACAAGCACACACACCTGCCTATATACACACAAGCGTGGACAACAGGGACAGCAGCACAGAGCAGCAAAAACACATATAATGTGATGCAAGTCCATAAGTGCTCAGTGACCCTGGGTCGCTCAGATCCAGGTCCCTGACAGAGTTAAAGAACAACAATTAATTGCTACTATCATGTTTAGATGCATATAATTTTTTTCTAATCTTTTTAATTGATCTGAATTAATTTAAACCTCTGAATAGGTTATAGGTGATCAGTTTGAGTCTTGTTTGAGTCTAGCTTATACTTTGCTTGCCTTTTGGCAAAAGTACAAAGAGGAATTCAAATTAGGTCAATTCAATTCCAATCACAACAACAGTCACCTCAAGGCAATAATAGTAAACAACCTGCAAGTGAGGAGGAGGGATGGATAGAGAGAATAGGAGAGAAAGAGGCCATATCACACGTGGATGGATCTCCAGCTTCCTCTTACAGTGGTTTGCAAGTGTTCGGCCCCCTTGAACTTTTCCACATTTTGTCACATTACAGCAACAAACATGAATCAATTTTATTGGAATTCCACGTGAAAGACCAATAAAAAGTGGTGTACACGTGAGAAGTGGAACGAAAATCATACATGATTCCAAACATTATTTACAAATAAATAACTGAAAAGTGGGGTGTGCGTAATTATTCAGCCCCCTTTGGTCTGAGTGCAGTCAGTTGCCCATAGACATTGCCTGATGAGTGCTAATGACCAAATAGAGTGCACCTGTATGTAATCTAATGTCAGTACAAATACAGCTGCTCTGTGATGGCCTCAGAGGTTATCAAAGAGAATATTGGGAGCAACAACACCATGAAGTCCAAAGAACACACCAGACAGGTCAGGGATAAAGTTATTGAGAAATTTAAAGCAGGCTTAGGCTACAACAAGATTTCCCA